TTTAAAAATACAAATAAAACTAAATACTTACGGCTTCTACTTTTCCTTCTGTTAAGTAATTATTCCCTTAACCTTTCCCAAACCTCATCCCTTTTTGTGTCTACCAGAGCTTTCAGTTATTCACTAAAATAGGAATTATGCAATATTTGTTTGGAGCTGATGACCTGTATTTCATAATTTAAGCTGCTGCAGAGGAAGGATGTCTGACCATGAGGAAAAAAATGACGAGTGGTGATAAAAATTTAATTAGCATGAAGTTAAATACAGTGTAATTACTCCAGGGGTGGGCTGCTATGGGTTCGCGAGAAGCAGTAGCTAAAGTTATGGCCGGTTTGGAGAACCTCCAAATCCCACCCCTGGCTGGCCCTGCCCACCCAGCTCCTCCTAGGAGTCTCCATATGACCCATTTTGGATGCGAGGTAAGTGCAGGGCCCGTACAGAGGCTTGGGGGGGGGGAAAAACTGGCCTCCCTGAAATGCTGGAGCCGGGGGAAGAAGCTTTCACCCTCCCAGAGGCTCAAGGAAAGCCAGAGCCTGGGGAAGACGAAAACACCCCTCCACCGTGGTTCAGGAGGCTGACTAGGCCACGCCCATCATAGCCATGCCCACCCAGCAACCAGGCAGAGAACCTGTTACTGAAATGTTTGAAGCCCACCCCTGAATTACTCTCCTCTCACTTGAGGCACAAATGATCAGACTCAAATTATCCTACTTTGGAAGCCTCAGACAAAGGCGTAGCTCCTTGGAAAAGACTCTAGTGCTGGGAAAGATGGAAGGAAAGAGATGAAGAGGATGACCAGCAGCAAAGTGAACTGGACTCAGTTACAGTGGCAATTAGTGCACCGTTGGAAGACTTGAAAGTTCAGATTAGGCAGAGGTCATCACAGAGAAAATCTATCGATGTAATCAGTAAGAGTTAGTACCAATTTGATGACACACAATCATTCCTCGTGTATTCAATAATTGTCCCTGTCAATTACAATTCAGGGAGAAATTTTGTAGGGCCTCAAGGGAGGCTGCACCCAATAATTTGGGAGTAATGTGTACTGAGACCTCAGGTTGTGTGCCTGTAATTAAAAACAGTGATTACGTTATATATTGCACATGGTTTTTAAAGCACAATGTTAATGATTCTTGTCAAAACTGTGAAAGTGGAAACAGTTAAATATCACAATGTTCTTTTTAAAAACCTGATTAAGGTCATTCAAACTATTAAGAATAACTTTTCTAATAAATACTTTTTGTATAATTCAAATATTCTTCCCACTAAGACAGTACATTATTAGTCTTTCATTGATATATTAGCTTCTACAACCTTAAATCTTCACGTGTTGTCTGTATTTCAAAAATGTAAACTTACTCTAATCTGTAATTTTAAGGTTTGAGTTGATTGTCTTACATTAATAATAGCATTATATACTAGATTCTTTCAAAACACTCATTTACTTTTAATATTAATGGATTAATAGCATGAAAATTGATAATCCGGTTTTAGATGTTTTGAATGCTTACAGTTATAGATGTTTACAGGCCTCATATAGAAATGTTTTTAAAAATATGTTCCATACTCAAAAGGTCCTGTGAATGTTATGGCAATTCAAGTTATATTCTTTGTCAAATCTTACTTCACATATTGACATGTCTGCACATGCAATTAATACATTTCCAATTGACTTCCATTATTTCAAATAACATAAAATTGTGGGGTTTTTTTAAATATATTTTTTCTTTAAAAATAAAATATTATCATGTTTTTGATTTCTCTACATTTTTTAAAGTGGAGAGTTCAAATATCCCCCCCCTTTTTTTTTTACAAAAAGCTGCTCCATGGTCTTGACAAGTTTATCACTATAATAATTTCCCAACCGTAGAAGTATTTGAGCCAAAGCCTGCAGCTTTTGAAATGGAAGTGTATCACAAACAGGCACCATGATCCAAGTCTAGAAACTACTTTTGCTAATAATCTTGACAGAAATCTGTAGAGATAGTAGCATGAAATAGAAATCATTGGTTTGAAATTAAATTGTTCAGAACCTAGATGAATATATCTTTACAATTTTCCATGTAAAAGATTCTGCATGGCTGCCGAATGGCCTTTTAAGGTTATGGTTTAAGGAGAGTTAACTTCAACTGCAAGACTTTTAAGTTCTGCAGCTGGAAACGTTCTTTCTTTTGAGCTGCTATGCTTTTGAAAGGATCACCATTGCTTTTTTGGTACTCATGCCATGTATCTAATTATACGGAACACAACAGTGATGTGCATTAAGGAAAAAGTGCATTTTTTCAGGCACATGTTATATGGCAAGCAAGCCAGTATACTGTCTTCCTTAGGCACCAAAGTCACTCACTCTCTGTTGGCCCTCGAAAAACATCAAGCTCTGTAACAAGCTGGCTAAAGAACGAATCTTTTATCACATGCATTGGTAGTATCACCATGAGAATTAGGCAAGCACATTTTAAAAAAGAAAAGAAAAAAGGACCCTGCAACCAAGCAGAACAAATGCTAAAAAGAAGAAGGCTGTATTTCCAAGGAATATGGTAGAGCTGATTTTCTGGGCCAAGATGCCGCTTCTGTTAAAAATAAGTATAATGAACCAACAAATTAGGAAAAGGCTTTGTTTTCTGTAATATGGGCTTTATTTTATGTAATATGGTCATTTCATATTACGAAGAAAGAATCATATTGAAAGTGAATGCTGGCTAGCTATGGAACAGTTTTAGGAATTTCAACCTGGCTTTACAAAGGGTAGCATTAGTCTTTATTTTTAAGCATTAGGGATCTTCAAGGCTTTTTCAGTCTCCCTCTCTCCCTTTCTCTCTAACCTACCTTTCTGGGCAGATGCCTTTTAAAAGTTATTTAGGCAAATGAACTTTCATATAGAGCCCTCAGCAGTAAAATCTAGGAAGTATATTTTGCTACTCTTATTTTAGATTGCATGATCTGGGTCAGAGGAATAATACAAGATAACTTTTAAAATTAAAACCAAATTGTTGACTTTTGTAGGGTGACATCTAAGCAGATCAGTAAGGAAGCAAAAGATCAAATTAAATGAAGAAACTACAATTATAGGCTTTTAAAAGAAATAATTTAAAGGGAAATGGAATGCAAGATAAACTCAAACAGGAATATATGTTGCAGAATTAGAAAAATTAGGCCTTAAAGCCTAATGTTCAATCACTGGTTGCATTCACGGAATATATTCAGATATCATTTGTTTAAGCAACCTAGCCATAGTTGGGTGAATTCTTATTCTATAAGAACCAAGATTAAACCATGATTGTAAATCACACTAACTTATTCAACATACGCTATAAATCTCCTAATGACTTAGAATGTTATGTGAACCCAGTCACATAATTGGGTTGCATCTTATGATTCTTTATGAATGTATTTTATTTTTCTTTATGTACACTGAGAGCATATCCACCAAAGACAAATTTCTGTGTGTCCAACCACACATGGCCAATAAATAATTTTATTCTATTCAAGAGTGAAGGACATTGCTATATAAAGCAGCAGCTGTATGCTATATAAACGCATTTCCATTTTTGGGAAACAATACATTCTCAAAAAAAAGGTAGTGTACCTCCATCCTGATTTTCCAATCCTAATTTCCAAAATAGCTATAATACATTCTTTGTGGTGTTAGGCATCCTTGGATGTGGTTTTTGTTTAAAGAAGAGTGCTACATCCTGTTTAAGATTGAGAGAAATGGTAAACTAATAACATCTGGGCTTCTTCCTGTGCTGAGCAAAGAGGTTTATCATGAGTGCTAGTCCTTCCCTGTATCTCTTCCATCTGTTATTCCCAGACAAGTTCTTCCCCAAGGAAGCCCTTAAAGTAATGCAGGCTTGGCTGATGCACAGCTGTAAGCCTTTAAGTTTGCTACTGGTGGATGGCTCTAAATGCTTACACTGAGATTGTTTGGATTTTGTTTTTCTTGGAGGAATCAATGTGATAAATTAGTTACTGTGGCAAATGGGTAAACAATCTATTGAAGCAGAGGAACTGATCACAAATAAGCAATTAAAGCATGGAGGTCCTTCCTCTTATTCTGTTTCATTAGGAAACACTTTTGCCTTAAGAAATATGTTTTTG